ATTTGCCTTTTCTCTGCCCAATCTCTGATACTGTTTCATTTTCTAAATTCAGGATTATAAGGTTCATCGAGATGAAATACATACAAAGCTTGTTCAGATAATGAGAGAGAGGTTGTTGGTTCATCTGCGTGGATTGCCCCAGATTGTTGAAAGCTGGAATAGGCCAGAAGATGCTGAACCACAGCCCAGTCAATTTGCTCGATCCCTTACAAAGGTAGGTACCATGATTAGCTCAGTTTAATTCTAGGAGTTCTTACCTTGTTTAATCCCTTTCTTTTTCATTTTGGTCTGTGATGGATTCGGTCTATAAAGGCACTTTATTAGTTGAAGAATCGTGCAAAAATTGAGTGCCATACACATATGTATAAAAGTTTTGAAATTAGTGTTTTATGCATCATATCTTTAAATCTTTTTGATAGTTTTCTAAGGTAATTATTACTTGACATAAAAAAGTGTGTTTGGTTCCTAGTAATGGTATAAATAATGCATCTTGTTTTTTTTTGTTCGCCCCTCCCCATTGAAGCCCATCTACCACCCGTGCCCTTTTTTCTTTTGTTTGTCTCCATCCCCACCCCTCTCTTTCCCCTAAGATGGTGTATCTTGTTTGCTTGTCTTCCTTCCCCATTGCTTGTTTTTCATGTTGTTGCTGTTTTTCGTTTTTTAATTGGGCCTCCTTTTTAACTGTTTGGCATTGGGATCATGGATCCTATTATGCCATTGTGCTTTACCAAGGCAGAAAAGGTAAGGTTCTTTTTTATAGTTTTTATGCCTTTTTTAGACATTCTGTGCCCATTTTGGTATGATGATGCGGTATGGGAGTAGATATGGTACAAAAAACCAGAATAAAGGCTAAAACTGATTTAAAATTGAAGTTGGAACAAGAAAACTAGGGCCTAGGATTGTAGGACCAGTAATAGTTGATATTCCACTATATTACAGCTGCCTAATATGTCTAAAGGACAATTTATGCTAGGTTTACATTAGTTTTTAATCCTAGCCTTGGATACACATATATGCCATCAGCCATCTATTAAGCAATTCAAACTTATTATGAGATAACATGCTAGTAACATGACCACTTAATAAAGTGAGAACATTATTACTAATCATTAAAGTAAAACAGAAAACATTTAGAAAAACATATCAAGATGTTCAATTTCGATTAGGGCTATGTAGTACATCCACTATCTGACGTGCATTTATTTTAGATCAAATCTTATATTCTTCAATCTCACAGATTGAACTATGATATCGAAACTTGTTTCTACAGTATCTCTTGATCTCTGATTCTCATTGTGACTTCATTTTCATTTCTGCCCAAATTAAATTTGCATTTGATGCACTCCCTCTAAATTCTTAACTGAACCCTTTGTCTTAAAAGTTACTCTCCGCAACTCAAGCTTATCTTTAATCATAGCACTATTCCTATCCACTTATATGCCTAGCAAGTTCCTGGTTGGCAGATCTAGATCCTTGTGTTCTGATGTGTGCTTCTGTTTGTAATTTGGTTTTGGTGGATAAGACTGGCAGTGACTATATAGAACTGCTTTCTTTTACTTACTCTGTTATTTCAAAAAGACAATCTTTCTTGTCAGTTTATCCTTTTTCTCTATTGATGTCCCTTTAGTGGTTGAGTAGTTACCGAGCTGTTAGTTTATAAGCTTAAAACAGTTGAAACTATTTTCCGAAACCTTACTTATGTTTATCTTTCTTTTGTATGACCTTAAATAATTTGAAGCTTATGTTAAATCATCATTGTGTATATTTAATTTTCATTGTAGTATCTTACTTGAGGGACCATGGTCTCTGCAAGCATAGTATATTTTTATGTGATCTTAAAGGAATGTGTTAACAAGTACATTTTAATCTCAGTTTTAACTTTTGTATTAGGTTTCTTGTTCAAGTGTCACTAGTTCCCTTGTTTGTATGTTGGACAATAATTGCCATGGATGAATTGATTTTGATTGGCTGTTCAATTTGTTTGCAGGAAGTTGGCTACCTCCAACGTGTTTTATCTCGAACATTGCATGAAGTAGACGTTGAAGCAATTTTCAGGTGAGGCAAATTGAACGTTTAAGCAATTTCCAGGAACCTGCTTGTTTCATCTTTATGCCATTGTGTAACCTGTTAAGAGAAAGGTTTTTATGCCATGATAAACTTTGTCTAAGAAGTATAATGGCTATTCATATGCCGTTTGCAAACTGTTTGGAGAAATGTTCAAAATGTTCTATGGACCAGGAGGTAAATTTGAACAATGGAAAGTTTCTGGGAGTGTTGAATGGCAATCCTATCCTAGGTTCATTTTATATTCCTAGATGGACATTGAATGTTAGATTTCCTTCCATGATATGAGGAGTAGGTGCAATTTCATTAAAGCCTTTTAAAGCCCTGTTGTAAATGATTTTTATCTCATGTTATATTTTGAGGATCCTTGTTACAATGCCAGTGAATCTTTTGATAAAATGACTGGCCCGATGATGTTTGGCTGGGAAAGGCTTGAATTACATGTTTGTCAGTTCCGGAAAATATTTATCCTGGTATAAAGAACGAGCAACTTTTGCACTTCTACAACTTGCTTTAAGGTTATTGGTCATCAAATTTGCCATTATACTGATACGATATATGTAAAATCTTGATTGGTGGAAACTTCTAGCCGCATTTATGATTTGCCCTGTCCTTTAACTGGTGGATTTTTTTCCCTTTCTCTTCTGTTTACTGACATTAAATTTTGTTACACACTAAAGTCATCTAGCCCCCTCTAGGTGAGTTGGGATAAGATCATGCTCTACCACATGAAAACTTACTGAATATTGGAAAAGAACATTGTACTTTTATCAAGCAACTGCACATTCATTTATTTTCTCTTGATGAATAATGAAAGCAATAATTATTCATGAAAGTGAATTGTTCCCTTCAATTACACATGCTATGCTTTGCAGGCAAGTTGTTGTAATCTTCCATTCACAAATTTCAGAAGCATTTTCACGCTTAGAGATCACCACTCCTCAGGCAAAAGATAGGTATTGTACTGTTTGTGGATTTTTATATGAACTTCAAATATGATTCTGTTTGTTTTTTCTATGATAACAAGCTGGCAGGCTTTATAATGGTTTATTTAATAATTTTCATGGCAGGCTGCATCGTGATATTAAACACATTCTTGCATGCATTCGATCATTGCCGTCTGATAATTTGAACAATTCTGCTACCCCTAACTGGGGGCAACTGGATGAGTTCCTAGTGCAAAGGTTTGGGGCAGAGGCTGGTTGAGGTTTGTTGTTTTGTACAGTAATAGAGACCACATTTGAAGGGAACACTTGGGGATTTGTCAGAACCAATTCTCAGCCTATGCAGTTGCTTTGTAGAATTAAATTGAGGTAAGGAATCTATTCTGTTTCTCTCTCCCTCTAGATTGATTATTGAAATGTTTTAAGTAAGAAAATCAAAAAATATAAATATCTAATAATACATCTGACAAGCATAATCTTATTCTTCCTTAGTCATTAATCTTGAAGCATTTACCCCCGGTTGGTTGTAGAGATATTGGGTGCAATATATTTCATGTGATACTTTTAGTTACAAGTTGCCTAATAGGTGGCATCTATTATCAGCAACCTGGGGCAGGCTCAAATTTTATTAACCTTATTTTGGTTTGAGTTATGACAACAAATGGCTATGTATATCTCTGAGTGGTTTCCCCTGGGATTCATGTTTGAGTCTTTTGCTCATAAGTTGTCACCTAATTCCTTTACCATTTGAATGAATGTGCATAACATCCCCTTATTATATTAAGCAAATTTCTTTGGAAAGATAAAAAGGGGTGTCCTCTGCTTGCGATGCTAACAATAAGAGTTGTTTGATGTTTTGTTATTGGTTCAGGTAGATTGTGAAAAATAGAACAAAATCAGATTGAAATGTTGCGGCAGGAAGGAAGCATTAATAGTTTTGGGAGTCACAAGTGAATCTACATATATATATATATATATATATCATTTAATCATTACATAGTTTGTAATGGAATAGAATGTTCCCTTAAATGTAATTTTTGAGTAAAAACAGTGAAACAAATTGAGTTTCCTCTCCCTCCCCCAAAGTCCAACCATTTGAGTGATGATTAGCATTGGTTTTTGCATTTTGTTCTCATTTCCCTTTCTTGTTTTCTCATTATTTTTTCTTAGGGCTATATGGAATCGGACTTTTAATTGTTATTGATTTAGCAAAATAAATTTCCATCTTCATTTGTTGTTGCACCACATATTTCTATTCTTTTTTTTTTTTTTAGTTTTTGTTAAAAAAATAAAAAAACAAAAGAATGAACCAAATGGAGTCTTCATTATACATGTTTTAATCATGACAATGTAATCTAGTTGAATCTACATCCATATCATTTAACTGTATATTATGCACAAGACACATAACAAATGAATTGTCAAGGGACAGTTTAGTCATTTAACCATATAAGACGCATGAAAACCTAAATCTGATTACACTTCAAATTGAATTCCTTTCACTCAATCCAAGTTACTTGTAGCTAGTTATTTTCATTGTCATTGAACCAACTATGTCTTTTCCCCAGAGGTGGCAATTGGCGCTTGGGTCGTTTTGGATCGAAAAAGGTTCTAGTAATTTCGAGTTTGGAATTTGGCCAATTAGAGTTAGAACCATTGCAAGTTGGGAGTATTTTGATTTGAATGAATTTTGAATTCAAGTCATTCGAGTTTGACTCTTGAGATATTTGGATCAAGCTGGTGACATGTAAAAATTAATTTAACTTGAGTTGTTTAGTATCAATCTTTTAAATAGTTCAAATTTAAGGTATTTTGTATTCAAATCAAATTATTTCAAATTCGAAGGTTTGAGTTGATTTGGATAAATGAGATGACTCTTTGGGAGTTAGTATGAGGCAAGCTCAAGTTTTCCCGATAAAATAGATTATCCATTATTCAAGTCATGCAAGCAGGATGCATCCAGGTGGTTCTTTGCCCAAGTAGCCGAAATCATACAGGATCAGGCTGTGTGCCCTCACAAGATGGTTTATTCCTTACCAAAGGGAAAAAGAAAAATCTTAGCTTAATTTAATTTACCCTGATCAAAGTTTGATCCGGACAGGGATTGATTCCATTTTCAACTTCAGGATCATCATTTTATTGTTTTTTTATTTTTGGGGGGTATATAATAATGACCCTGCACTCTGCAGTGACTCAACCTATTGTTTCTGAGTTTTGAGTTGCAAATTGAACTCCTGCCCTACGGGTTGCCCCAGTCCTGAGATCTCCACGACTTGGAATTTTGCATTCTTGTCTAATCTTGCCTTCACAATTGGATTTGCATACAAGTTTGTTTTGTTGTTGCCACTGCTTAATTCATACCCTGTCAACCTCCCAACATTTTCCAAACCTATGAATGTCACTTTATCTATCATCCACTTTTGACTCAAAGCAAATGCTCCATTCTCGACCTCTGATCTGGCAAACACTTCATCACCAGAAGATGAAATTCCTCCATAAAATCTCACCAAACTCCACTTGCCCCCCTCTGCGCCCATCTCCACTTCCTCCCCGTCATCCAAGAAAACTTGTCCACTCATAGTTTCGGTGCTGCTGACGGCCACCAAAAGTCGGAATGGTGTCTTCCGAGCAGCTTTGGTTGTCCTGGCCTCTCCCTGCATGGCTATAATGTTACCTTCTCGAACATGCACGTTTATATGATCTCGTGGCGCGGCAAGGGTGAGGTATTTTCCAGAGTTTGCACTCACTGAGTTGGAGTAATTGAAGAGGTCAAACCAATTTCCGGATGGGAAGTAAGCATCAACAGAGACTGCTCCTGACTTCAGTACAGGTGACACCATTATACCTTTTCCTAGGAGAAACTGCGAATTGATTTCGTAAGTGTGAATATCTTGGGGGAATGTGAAGAAAAGGGGCCTTGCAATGGGAGTCCCTTCCTTGTGTGCCTCGTACATTAGAGTGTAAAAGTATGGGAGCAGGCAATAGCGGAGGCCGAGCACCTTCCTAGCTGATGCAGCAACTGAATCCCAGAGATAGAGCTCTTGACGAATCGAATTAATCTCAGAGTGATCTCTAGCAAAAGGGTAAAAGGCCCCTAGCTGCATCAAATTAGGCAAATTAAAACTTGTTTGATCACATGAAAGAGCATATCAGTTGGTATTCAAAATTAAGGCTGAGGAACTTTTCCTTACCTGAATCCATCGTTGGCACAGCTCTTCAGTCGTATCCCTAGAAAAGCCACAAATATCAGCTCCTACCATCGGAATCCCAAAGAGTCCGAAATTTAAGATTGATGGGATTGTGTATGCCAAATCCTCCCAAGTGGCTGCATTGTCTCCTGTCCAGTGGGCTGCATACTTTCCAGAGCTCACAAAAGTTGATCTGCTAAGTATAAATGGCCTTTTGCCGGTCACATTAATCAATGCTGCGTGAGTAGCTTTGCATTCTAGTAAACCATACAGGTTATGGGCATTGTACTCTGTCAGGTTACCAAAATGTAGAGATGTGGCAGGAACCGTATTGTTGTTGATTGGCCGCTGGATTCCCTGGTTATTAATCTTGTATGCAGGATCATCCAGGGCAGAATTTGGGGTTGGAGGGGAGGTTATGAAATTGGATATCTCGTTCATATCGAGCCAAAGACCATCAACAGGGAGAAAATCTCGAAACATTTTGATCTCACCAGCCCAATATGTTTCAGTGCGAGGATTTACAAAATCTGGGAAGTAGACTGGACCAGGCCAAACTCGTCCCAAGTAAGGGTAGCCATCTCGTTTTATGAATATATCAGCTTGCATCCCCCTGATGTAGGTACCGTATGTACTGTTTACACTGATTCCTGTGGAGATTGCATGAAGTAAAAAATTTAATGCATTTGTTTCGAGAATGCTTAACAATCTGATCTGTTCAAACATGCATTAATGCAATCTAAATTTCAGCATTAATGTCTAGAGAGTCTTGACAGACAAACGTACCAGGATCTATGATAACCACGTATTTCTGGTCATTTTGATGAAGCTTATCAACAAATCTTTTCATCTGGTCCTTGGGAAAGTTGACTGGGTCAAGAGTGAAATCCTTGAATCCATCCATGTAATCGATATCCGTCCACATAACTTCAAGAGGAATCCTAGCTTTTGCATAGCCCGCAACCACACCCTCGATATCAGAAACATTTTTGTACCCATATCGGCACTGATGGAATCCTTTAAGATGCAATTAATGGCCAATGAGTGATTCATCGGAATTAGGAGAAGGAGAATAACTTTGAAAAAAAAAAAGAAAAGAGAAGAAAGAAGGGTGCATACTTACCAAAGGACCAATACGGCATAGCAGCAGGGCGGCCAATAAGCTGGGTGTACTGCTCCACGACTCTGTCCGGCAGTGGCCCAGCAAAAACATACAAATCTATGACACCTCCGATTATCTTGTAGGTTATCCTGTTTCCACCATAAACAATGTCCATCCCATTGCTGTTAAGCAACAGAACTCCATGGGTAGTTCCTGCTGATACTTTGCCATCTGCGGATGCTGATCTGATGTCAAGGTAAAAGGGATGTGATCCATAAAGATTAACATCCAGATTAGCACTTGCCAAATCCGCATTCCACAAAGTCAAACTGTCATTATGTTGCAACTTGAAGGATCTCTTGGTGTGCTCTCCCAGTCCATAAAGTGAGGACCTGCCTTGTGGCAGCGAGGAGGAGAGTTGAATATATTGGTCCTTGAACACCAGGAAAGTGCCCGAATCGGATGCATCCGGCGATGTGTCGAAAAGAACGTCGCCTGAGGAGCGGCGCCTCACCGACAACCCGAATGGCGTGGTGTTATGGAGGGTGAAGATGAGGTCCGATGTTGGGTCCGACACGTAGTAGTTTTCCTTCTGCTGCTTCTGTGTTTCGCCTTGGTACTTTGCTGATGAGCTCCGATGGTTTTCTGGCAATGACCGGTGTGGGAATTGAGATTGACGGCGAATGATTTCCTGTCCGATTTCCCATCTTTCATGGCCTGAATCTGTAACTTTGATTCTCAAACGATTGCTTGTCTCAAAGCTTCAAATAGAAAGCAGTCAGCAGAGTCTATCAGTGACCATGAAAATCTTTACTTTCCATGGAAAAAACAACATTACACGATTAAAACAAACAATCCCATATCCTCTAGCATTTACCTGGCAACAAGACGCAGATTTTGAATGTCAGGTCCATAGACAGAGGAGTTGCGGATAAGTCCAAGATCAGCGGTCAACCATTTTCCATTTGCATCGACGGAAACAGATTTCAGCTTGTAGCCATATCCAACTGCTTCACTAACTCCATGGACGGAGGAAGAAAAGGAAACAATGGTGAAGAACACAAATAGATTATGAAACAAGTGCTTCAATTCCAATCTATCCATGGTTTTTTTGGTTTCCATTTAATGAGGAAAGCAAACTGGCTTGTATCCTATAATTTATTCCACGAGCGACTTGGACCAAAACGATAAGCTGTTGCTTTCAATCTGCCATGGATATTTATTTTAAGGAAAATGGCTTCTTTTTTTTTGGCATTTCTGGCTTCATTAATTACTCTTCTTCTTACTCCTTACTTCTGCTCTATATTTAATAAAATTTCATATTCTGTGTATCAATGGCGTAAAAATTTTATATATTATCTCTAAATTCAATATTTGAGATTATGTTTACGTGTATCAAATATAAATTATTAATTTAATAATTTCGGATGATAACAAATAGCATATCATATTTAATATATGTAGGAATTGAGATTGGGATGTGTAAAATATATGCAATATTCTCTCAACAACCAGTTATGGAGGTAATGTTGATCAAAGGGCAAGTGTCACGAGGAAAGTGTCTCTATCCCACATCGGACAGGAACGGGAGGTCCTGAGCTCCTTATAAGCGGGTATGCTGCACACCCCTATAAGCGTGTTTATGGGAGAGAGAATAATGACCCCGTGACAAGTGGTATCAGAGCAGACCGGACCTCGTCTGACTCACGTCAAGGCGCCAGGTCCAAGGGGACTCAGGGTAAGCAGGGTGGCCGACGGCAACGAGGACGTTGCAGGAATCGGGTGAGAGAGAGTTTGCCGGAATCGAATGGGAGAGAGTGTCACGAGGAAAGTGCCTCTATCTCACATCGGACAAGAACGAGAGGTCTTGAGCTCCCGTAAGCAGGGTGGCCGACGGCAACGAGGACGTTGCAGGAATCGGGTGAGAGAGAGTTTGCCGGAATCCACGAGGACGTTGCAGGAATCGGGTGAAGAGAGGTTTGCCGGAATCGAATGGGAGAGAGTGTCACGAGAGGGTGGCCGGGCAACGAAGACGTTGCAGGAATCGGGTGAGAGAGAGTTTGCCGGAATCGAATGGGAGAGAGTGTCACGAGGAAAGTGCCTCTATCTCACATCGGACAAGAACGAGAGGTCTTGAGCTCCTTATAAGCGGGTGTGCTGCACACCCTTATAAACGCGTTTATGGGGATTATGAAAATGGGTTATAAAGCAATTTCCACATGGATATGCCAACATTGGAATAAGATGTCACATGAATGTCTAATGCTGACCACGTGTAAATGAGAGGTCTTGAGCTCCTTATAAGCGGGTGTGCTGCACACCCCTATAAGCGCGTTTATGGGAGAGAGAGTAACCATTGTCAAGTTGTTACTCTAAGTCTCTTAAGATACATTGTTTTTTTTTTATCTAAATTATGAAAATGGGTTATAAAGCAATTTCCACATGGATATGCCAACATTGGAATAAGATGTCACATGAATGTCTAATGCTGACCACGTGTACTGCATGTATAACAATCTCATTGCTTTTGCAAGTTTAAATAAGGAACTAAATCAATTACTTTAATTGTAATTTATATGATATGGTAGACATATATTTTATGCTAATTCAAGATATATATATATATATTATGTAAAGAATATTCTATATATTATATCTTTTTCTTTCTCCATCAATTGGCTTTTGTTCCCCTTTTACTTCTTTTTATCTAAAGGTTTCAAAAATTATAATTCTTTCCCTTTTTTAATATAACAAATAAAACCCTTTTTTTTCCCTTTACTTTCTCATTCTCTTTCTTTATGAATTTCTAAATGTTAATTTCCCATGCATATACACACTTAGACCATGGTTAAATAAATTATGAATTTTATACATTTAAATTCAAAATCTACGCAAAATTTTTTATGTTTGGTAAATTTATATCTAAATGATTCATTGAATAGAATTATTCAATAAATAGCATAATATATATGCTAACCAGTTACCTTTCTCTATAATATACACTAACTTGTAATTTGCACGATACGTAAAATAGTTTTATCTATCTAAATATATTGTAAATACATAGAAATTAACTGATAGACTATGCATATAATTATAGTTAAAATTTTTTAATTTATAACATATCTAAAATTCGATCATATTATAAAATGCAACTGCCCAGTAGGGAACCAAAATAGAAATAATAATAAAAAAATGAGCTAAAACATATAGTTCTTCATCAGCACTTGGCAACACCATATATAATGGTCTTCTTCTTTTCCAAATCTATGGTTTTTTGCTTCAATCATTAGATTCCAATGTCAGGGAAAAAACAAAAAGAGTTGCTGTCTACCTCCAAACAAGTAATGATATATGAGGAGGAAGCATGGGAGATACAGCAAACAAGAAAATATGGTACAAAAGCCAAGCCTGGGGGTTGGTTGCATTCCAACTATACAATATAAATGAGTCATCTACTTTTGCCTGTTGCCCTCATTGCAGGATGTGTTCCAAAGACATGGTCCCAAATTGAAGAAGTAATCCCAAACCCTTTGCTTTGAACTCTAAAGTGATGATTCAGGTGATATCTCTGTCAAATCAAAACACCAAGAGAAATGATTATACAAGGAGTTTTCTTTAACCCCAAGGGTATCATATCATAATCTTATATATATGGTAAGTTGGCCTACATGACTATGAGGGCTCTCATTCTTTTCACTGCTATATATTTCACACTCTACTTTATTCTTTTACCTTAACAACAGCAGGCACTTCCTTTCAAATAAATTGGCAGAAAAACAGGGAAAAGAGTTTTTACCTTGAGAGTTTGACTTAACCCTACAGATGGCTTTCCATGGTGCAAGTAGTAATGGGTGCAGTCATAGATTACGTATCCCAGCAACCCACCTGCAAATAAAGCTGGAGTAGTTGATGGAGTGGAAAAAAGCTTAAACAGGCTCCACACCTAGCAATCGAAAAACACATGCTGAATCAGAGTCAGTTTAAGAAATCCATAAGCAATTGAAATTGGTTTCAATTTGACACTTGGATTTCCAATTCTGAAACCTGGAAATACATAAAAGAATTCTCTTTGGTAGATAAAAGAGAAATCTGCTAACTATGGCACACTCGGTATAGAAGATAGGAAAAGAGTTTGCAACAAATTAACATACTGGCACGCAGAGAATTGCTGTTGCAGCTGGGGGGAAAACGAGTCGTAGTCTATCCATGGGGTGCTTGTGATGGCAGCCATGAAGGAGAAAGTGCAAGGTGTTACCCCTGAAAGGAAATTTTCCCGAAAGGAGAACTTGCTTCAGCATGCCAAGTTGCTTAAGCAGACGGTATGCAGCGAGAAATGGAGAGTGGGCACAGACAGAAAGAGAACTCACCAATAACTTGTTGTTTTCATATGGAAAAGAAAGCGGTGCAAAGAATACTCAATCAATGTCCAAATGAAGACGCCACCGGCCACTGCTGAGGCTGCCTGAGTAGGAGCAAGACCTCTTTGGATGGAGGTGGAAACAAACCAACATACAACTGGTAGCCAAACGAGTGGGATCACCCACCATTTCGTGCGTGTCAAGAGCTGTTCAAGCAATAAATTTGTCCACACCATTCATTCAAGAATCAGGGAGAATAAAAGAACAATGCTGAAGCATGTGAATGTCAATATCTCCATATATATTCTGTTTTGTAATTCTAGAACTGCCTGAATGGAAAGACAAGTGATCAATACCTCACAAAAGTCATTGCCAAAAAATCGAGGGCATTCCTTGCTAACTACAGGTTGGTGAACCCATTTGTCATAAGCTTCCCCAAGATGGCCAACCTGTGAAAATCCTCAGTTAATAAAACACCAGATCATAGAAACAGAACCAGAACTCCAAGTATTGGTGAAGCAAATTAGGAGTTCCTTGTTTTAGGAAGTAGAGGGGCTTGGATCAGACCTGGAATACAAGCGGCTTATCCAAATCTACCGTAAAAGGCTTTTTGACCATCCTGGCAGCTTCTGTCTTGTATTGAATTATCAACCAAGTAAAAGAGGAACAGCAGCAAAACAAAAAATCAATGGATAATTTCAGAAGAATAACAAAACCACTTATGTAAATTGTCTACAACTTCCTCAGCATGAATATTTGGATACTAGATTAACTGCGGCATGGCCCAGTGAAAGAGATAATACAGTACTCTTGAATTTCCACCCTCCAATTCCAATAGTATTTAATATTATTGGAAACCAACTACGGAACTAGAAAACCTCCACCACCTCAAAACTTGGCTTCCATCGATCCCAAGTTTATCCCAACGTTCTAAAGAATAAAAGGTATTTGACTCGATGATAAATACATGTATCTTTCATTTAAAAATTTAATAATATTGTGACGTAAAAATTAATTAAGTAAAAAAGTCTTTCGAACAATGAAATTCTTGGGTTAATGGCGTCATGAAATCTAAAAAAGTTTTCATGTGATGTCCAAATCAGTTTCATATTTCATTTCATTTCCAGTAAAACATTGTCAAGCAATGAATTACATTTAGAAGGAAGGAAGAAAGAAAGAAAGTGAGAGAAACCTTGTTAGTACAGCAATGCAAGACCCTCCAGGGAGCTCTTGAGTCGTGAAGATCCCCCCCCACAAACAAAATTTTTTTATTTTTTGTTTTGTTTTCAATGTATGCTTAATTCTCCTCCTCTGTGAACTGTGAGGAGAAGCTCCTTTATTTTCAGGCCGAAATGCATGCCCAAGCAAAGGGCGGGTTTCAGCCTTCCAAAATCGAAATCACAGCTGCACCTCATGTTTAAGGCTTACATAAACTAGCTTTAACAAGTCAATAATAAACAATACTACTATAAAGATCGAATAATACATTTTATTGTCTATGAAAATCATTTAATTAGTATATAATAAATAATATACACGATTTTAAAATATGGTTCTATGATATCAGTAAAATCTATTAACAATAATAGTTAAACAAAAAATATAAACGGAGTTATTATTTTCAATAAAATTTAATACAAACCCGAGTGAGCAATTTAATAGTAAATAATTTTAACACCGTATTTTTATTGGTTAATTTATCTTTTAAATTATACCATTATTGGTTACTTTTATTACAATTATAACATGATGAACGTGACATATGACGTGAGGAAGAATCATATACATAAAATAAAATAAAATAAAATAAAAAGATGGGGCAAGTAGAAGAGTGAAAAGCTTTGTTAAAGTATAGAAAGGAGCAGAAACTTAGTCAAGCATAATGGATAGCACCACATGCTTCCCTAGTCCTATACAAAAATCATTGTGTCCCACTTGGCCCCATTGCTTTGAATTCCATTTTCACCATCAAAATGTTTAAATTGCGTGTTGAAATCTTCTTTTTTTTATTATTATTATTTAATTGAAGTAATCCGCCTATCCTTTTCCTCCTTTGTTAGTGCCTCCCTGCCTGGCCAATCAAACTCATACCATGAAGCATACACAACATAAATGTGGTTTTATTATCAAACCAAACCCAAAAAGAGAAAATCATTCATGCTATTGCTTTTACGACTGCTTAATGCTTTTCCTACAAACAAGATCTTATGGCATAATTTATTACAAAGTTTATATTTGATTCATATTCTGTCACTTCCATTATCGAGTGTCACCTTATAAATATATAAACTTAAAACATTTAAATGTTTCTAAAAATACAAGTTACCTAATTAAGGTCTTATTATACTATGAGATTATGCGGACAAATATATATTAAGGTCTCTTGGGGACTTACTTTAATTGGTTAAAGGGTTACATTTGTTGACATTTGTTGGCTTTTAGATGCTATTTGTTCAAAAATAAAATAAAAGAGAGTATTAATTAGCCTCTTAACCACTATTTAAAAAAACAAAAGCAAAAAAATCATTAAAATATATTCTTTGGGAAATCAAAACTAAAACAAAATTATGACATTATATAAGAACTATAAATAACGTTAATTACTAATATCTAAAAGTTGGGAATGATTTTAGGATATACTAATATTAACACATATGTTTCGATAAAAAAATATAAATAATTTTAAAAATAAAAAATCATGCAAATAAAATAATTTAAAAAAGAAGCATGTCGTTTTTGGCAAAGGAAGAAAGAATAGCACTATCAACTTTCAAAATAAAATATTTTTTTGAAAAAAATCTAAATTGATTAAAATCAAAATGATTATCACAAACTTAAATTCCACTTGTCATTATCTAAAGGAATTAAAATTATAATTAATTTTTAAAAAAACTTAATAAAAGCAAAAAATTAATGTATAGGGTTGTTATATATCTATTAAGGTATAATTAAAGGAATTAATAGATTATTTATACAGCTTAAAATTTATTTTTGATATATAAAATAAAGTAAAATAAAAGAAAAAAAGGAAAAAACTAAAGGGTCAAATTTAGTAAATCTAAATAATCTTAAAAACTAGAAAAACTAGAATTTCCTTTCTCAGTTAGAAAACAAACTCCAAATATTAACAAAAAAAAAACAAATTAACCATATTTTATATAAAATAAATTATAAAAAAGAAAAATGGAAAATTGACCGACAAAAGAAAAGGAAAGGCACAACAACATCGCTCCACTTTCCTCTGAATCCAAACCTTCTCCCCCCACGCGTCTTCTACTTTCTTGTCTCCTGCCTCGCCTGGGTTTTAAAGCATAATCATGTAGTCCTTCGTACCCAATTTTCTTTTTAATTCGTCTCCCCTTTCCCTTCAACCAAACAATCAACTTAACAACCAGGAAGGAAAGAACAGGAAAGGAAAGAAAGACCCAGTTTTGTTTCTTTTCTTTCTTTGGGTTTTGGTTTTTCTCTTTACCATGCCTTTTCCGTGGAAGAAAGCCAAAGTAACTCGTATCTCGCGGCTGGTTGCCGACCTCCACCAATCCCCCAAACGCGGCGGATCGCTTGTGGTGGAGACCGGATTCCCGACCTCCCTCATCGATCTCTTCGTCAAGAACCGTGATCGATTGAGGAAATCCTCCAAAAGGAAATCCAGTCCCAGTTCCAGCCCCCCCCAGATCCAAACCCCTCCCACCCTGCATCAACCCTCCTCGCCTCCCAAATCATTCCCTTCCCCTCCGTGCAAAGAAGAGCTACGATCTCCTGACATAGATGTTGGGAAGTTAGTGTTGGTCCAGAGAGAATGCGAGGAGAGGATTGCGTTCCATGCGGCGTTTAAAATTTTTCTAGTGGTGGCTCTGGCTGTCAGTAGCAGGAACCTTGCGGTTTGGTTCATGGTGGCGGCATTCTTGCTTGTGCTTGTGGAGTTTGTTGGGACGCGGTTTTTTGGTTTCTTAAGACCAGAGTCTAAGATGCTTTTCTTGGATTCTTGGATTCAAAAGGGTTTGTTGGTTTTGAAGAGATGGGATTGGGAACAAGGATCAGCGCAGGAATTGGTTGTGAAACAACAAGGCACTCTCTGTTCTGCTTCTCATGGGTTGATTGAATTGGAAGATGATTGCATTGAGGAAATTCAGATCGCGGAATCGAAATTTGATTCCGTAGATAAGGGGTGTGACGGTGAAAGTTTGGAGACGCAGATGAAAGTGGAGGGGATGGAGAAAATAAGGGAACTCTTGACATGTAGAAGTGAGCGTAGTCGGAGTGCTAGAATCAAAGCAAATTTGATCAAGAAATTAGTGCCAAAGAAGTTGCGTAATGGAAAGAAGCAGGGGAAGAGTAATGACAAGGATGAACCATGTACTCAATCGGGAGTAGAAATAGATAAATCCGACAAGATTGACGAGGGAAAACAAGGGCCGGAGGCCGACGATGGAGACGATGAATCACAGGTAGAGGTAGAGGAAGAGGAAGAAAGTTGCAAGCAAGTTGAGGAATTAGGAGACAGGATTTCAACTTCTGCCCAACTTTTGTGGGTTGAGGAGTCAGGAACGGGAGTAGTTAAAAGCAAAGTGGGGAATGATAGAAAAGGGAAATCAGGGTATCTGATTCTGTTTGTGATCGTTCTGGCTGGACTTGTAGGAGGGCGGGGTCTTGCCCTGTTGCTTACACTTGTATGGTGTTTGATAGTAAGATATAGATTTGGCAGGCTAAGGAGATGCTGAAATGGGGCACATGATCTTTCTCTCCTGTCCCAATCCTGACGCTACACATTGATTTCTGGGGTGTGGCAGCCTGTCTGAGAAGAAACTAGAAAGCATCAGCATCTTCTCTCTAGCTTTCCAAGTGGTTGTGTAGATTTAGCTTCTGGTTGAATCTGCTGCTTGAAGCCTGGCTGATGATATGGAGTAGTGCCAACGTTTCTGTCGGGCAGGGCAACTTGATTTTGTTGTAATTTGAACTGTAAATTCACATATATACAACATTCGTTGATTTAACTCTGCAATTCGAGTGTCACATTTTTGCCATTGCATGGTTTCATGCCGCCATTTGCAAGCTAAATGGTCAGTGCCAAAGCTCCGCACTCCACTCTCGATGACTTGTACATTCACTTGCCACATTGGAAGATTCTGTCTGTCATGGAAATTTTTAAAATGGGAACCATTGAGCTTAATTTATTATTGGGGTTATTGTTTTGAGATTCTATGACAAATATTTTTTCAATGACATAGTCCTTAAATGTAGCTTTAAGACAAATGAAGCCTCAATTATACAAATTTCAAATAATGTTGGGTGTAGAAATCAAGAGCTGCTGCATTTCATAGAATTCACATTTATATAGAAAGGACAAAACTTATAATAATTTATATAAATACATATAATAATAAAACAAACATAAAATCAAATATATTGAAGAAAAAGAAAAGTTTTACTTAATCAAGGATAGAGTCTAGTAATAATCATCATTAATTGTAATTTTTTTTCTTTTTCTTATATATTAGGAGATTGTGACTATGAGACATGGGATAGAGTAAGTGTCCAATGAAAGATGTTTGAAGGTTCAACCAAAAGAAAAGCAGTCCCGTAGTTGCAATTCAAAGAAGAAAGGTGCAAGTGTAACTTCTAGTGACAATTCCAAAGGAATCCGCTAGTAACGTGTCTTAGACTTAGATCAAGAGCATGATTTTATCAAGCATTAGTTAATTATACGATAAGAGTCTCATGTATGACATGAGTTTGTAAGCAGGCTCAATTTATACTTGTTTATGTTTGTTGAATGAGTTAATCGAACAAAATGTAAAACCCATTTAATAAAAGAATTGAGCGTGAGCAAAGGTGAATTGGATTCATTTATGCCCATGAACCAATTTATGAACTTGTTAAAAACCAATTTCAATGGATATACTCTCCTCGTTCCAAATTGAATATCCACTTTTTAATCGATAAAACAAATAACATTTTTAAAAATTCAAATAAGTTTTTGTATTTTTGTTTTGCATTAAATAAGTTTTTATAATTAATAATTAATTAAATTAAATTATTATTTTATATTAATTTAATATGATAATATAATCATATAATATTTTTTATTTTTCACGTTCAAATTATGTTAATACTAGATAAATATAAAATAATATATGATATTTTAACTAATAATAATTAATCAATTATTACTTATAAAAACTTATTTAACTTAAAAATAAAAGTATAAATAATTGATTTAATGAAATAATAAAATAAAAATTATTTAAAAATTTTAAAATAATTTAAGGGGGTTTTTTTTTTTAACATTTTGTGTATAAATGGGTTTGGCTTCTAAAATTGAGGAGAAAGAACATTGGATAATGAAAAGTCCATGTCCATGGCCCAAAAAGATATATATGAAAGGCAATTTTGACATGTGCAAAGTTTTAAAGAAGCCTTCATCTCCAACCCGGGGGTGCATCGCCTCGTCTACCGCGCACAAATCCGGGTGCCAACTTAAAACCCTAACACCCTAACTCTAAAGTATCCGGCTTTTCTCGGCTTCCTTTCTCCATTGTTTTTCTTCTTTGCATTGGTTTTTCTCACCTATTCTTTTGATTTTTCAGTATACTCATATAAATGGTTGGAAATTGTTGTTAGGCTCAAGGAAATGTGTTTGAAATTGTCTTTCTTCTCTGTTTTTCAGATAGAAAATTCCTTGTTTTTTATTTGTTTAGGAGCTTAGAAACAAGCCCGTTCATGACCTGGGCATTGCCCTATTCCGCATTCTACCGAATCGAGAAACAATACAGAAAACCATGTCGTTCGATCTGACTAGAAAAGAGCCCCAACAGCCAACGGCCCCGAGCGCTGGTTATAACGGAAACGGCGTGGCGGTGTTGCCGAGCATGGCGACGACGCACCGGCTACGGCTGAACCCTAATACGGAGCACAATCCCGAGACCTACGAGGGTTTGCAGTTGGAGTTCAGTCCGCTTCTGTTCAGCTCCCTGGAACGTTACTTGCCTCCTCCGATGCTCTCACTCTCTCGCGACTCCAAGCTTAATTACATGCGCGATATTATCCTTCGTTACTCTCCTGAAGGCGAACGTACTCGCGTAAGCTTTTTTTTTCTTTCATTTTTCTTATTATATGTCTGACTTTCAGGTTCGAAAATTTCTTTCCTTTAGAATGTAATGTCGTACCATATGTTCTAAATTCCCGTGAATTCTTTTTCTTTTGGGATGAAATGAAATGATAGTGTAAAGTTTTAGTTATGTTAATTTTCCAGTTAAACTTTAAGCATATGTTAATGAAGGTGAAAATCAGATGAATTCGTAATAGAGTACAAGGAATATATTTAATATTTAAAATTTAAAATTTGTATTTCAGGAAATGATTGGTTTATGGCAGATTTTAAATTAAAGGAACATTCTAAGAAGGATTGATTGTTTGAAATCCCTTTTTGGCTGATTGAGAAATAGTGGTGAACAAATGCTGGAACAAGGGGGAAAAAAGAAGTGAATTCTTTTTGTCTTATCATGGATTTATCAGTTGCCTATTATTGTTGAGTTGGATTTGGATGCAATGAGATATTAAATCATCTTTCATAATTGATAGATGGGCTCTGTGTTTCCTATTGTCATTGGACTAATTTTATGTTTCAATCTGTATCTATATAATTTGTCATTGTTCTGTATTTTTCTGCAATATTATGCATTTTATGTTGGTCAATGTTTGTCATTCTCACATTTTGTTGAACCTCTAATTTGTGGTTATTTTTCTCTCGTAATTTTCCTTTTCCGTTTAGCTTTGTTTTTCTCACTGTTTAAAATTTTTGAACAGGTTCAAAGGCATCGAGAATACAGGCAAAAGATTATATCACACTATCAGGTACACCTTGTAGTTAAGGTTTGACTACAATTGCTTGTGCTTGTGCCATTGGGGAGTACTTAATTTAAGCCTACAAACTTTCCATACTATGCTGTTTGTGAGATATATATCATAATTGACCCTTTATGGTTGCCATGGTTAAAATAAGTAGAAGTGCCTTGCAGTGGCCTTTTATTATTCCTTTTGCAGATTGCGTTTTTGTGTGTAATCTTTATAAGGTTTATATTTCTTTTCTGCTTAAGTGATCTCTACTTTATGCAGCCGCTGCATAGGGAGTTGTATGCCATGCATGCCTCTAACTTCTTTGTCCCCTCATTTCTCAAAGCAATTAATGAGAATAAAGAAGAAAGTTTTAGAAGTATAATGGCAGAGCCTACTCTTGGGGTTTTTACATTTGAAATGCTTCAACCCCATTTCTGTGAATTGTTGTTGTCTGAGGTATCATCTCTGCCTCTTCTCATTTGGCATTTTTTACTTTAAACTTTCTTGTTTTTTAGTTTTTATATTTTCTTATCAGGTTCTGATTGCTTAGGTAGAAAACTTTGAAAAATGGGTCCATGAAACAAAATTCAGAATCATGCGACCAAACACAATGAACAAATTTGGCGCTGTTTTAGATGACTTTGGTCTGGAGACCATGCTTGATAAGTTGATGGAGGACTTTATTCGACCTATCTCCAAAGGTATTTAATTTTCCAACCATCATGAGATCGTAAATGCATGCTAAAATAAATTTTAGAGTTAAAGCTGATACCTTATTGTTTTTAATACATATTTTGGAAATGGTCTGCAGTTTTCTTTTCTGATGTGGGTGGATCTACGCTGGATTCTCATCATGGTTTTGTTGTTGAATATGGAATTGACAGGGATGTTGAGCTTGGTAGGTTCTAACTACTTTCTATTTTCTCTTTTTGATTAAATCCTTGCCATAAGTTTTCTGAATGATGGCGGCTTATAGTTTATGTAATCTGTGCCATTTGTCATCCACTACCCGTAGGAGAATAAATCATTAGCTATGGTAGACGAAAACTGATCTACGGTTAAGTGTTCAGAAGGTATTGCACAAATTAATTTTCTTCATTTCTTAAGACTTTGAAATCACGAGCTTCGTGCATTGCTTATAACTTGAGGTCTTTCTTTTCCTCATTAAATGATGGCACATTTATTTTCTTACATTTCTTGATCATCATCGTTTTTCTTAGAACAGCCTATAATATGAGCATGATTGGCTATGTTTTCTTCCTAATATTTTAATTTTGGTGCATATTCAATTTTAATTGTTGATACTTGTTCTGTTAAAAATCTTGTTTTTAAGTTTGTAGATCCACAAACTTCTGTAGCTTTGTCTTTGTAGGTTTCCATGTGGATGATTCAGAAGTCACCTTAAATGTTTGCTTGGGTAAACAATTTTCTGGAGGAGACTTGTTCTTTCGAGGTGTTCGTTGTGATAAACATGTCAATACAGAAACCCAGTCAGATGTATGCTAACCTTTCTGTTCAATTCTTTCTTACTATTGTTCATTTTAAGGCACAGGAACTGAAGCTTTCTTTTGGCTTAACCATTCAGCTCTAATAACTGCATGTTCCACAAAGCATCAGGATGAAGTTTAGTGTCAGTTTGATAAGAAAGTTCCCTTGAATGTAGCAACAAGGAGAACTAACCCGAATGAGAACATGAAATAACAGATTACTTAAACAAAATAAATTGCTGATGTCTCCGTAATATAATTTTTCTAGACAACAGGTGAGAGGTCATAGTATTTAAATTGGTTAGCAGATATTGGTTCATAGGAGAATATATATATATATATATATATATATACACATATTTATTGTTAATTTGTTTGTTAGTCATTGTACCAATATAATCATTATTTTAATGTTTTCTCTTTGTTCTGCATTACAGGAAATTTTGGACTATTCCCATGTTCCAGGACGGGCAGTTCTTCATCGTGGGCGCCATAGGCATGGTGCAAGAGCCACAACATCTGGTCATCGGGTCAACTTACTTTTGTGGGGCAGAAGGTATCTTTCTCTTACATCCTTTGTATAAACGTACCAAACATGTAATATCCTTTTGGAGGGATCAGTAGTCTCTCTTAAATTGTAATGGGAACATGACTTGCTTCTCTAAGTTGGAAAAAGATTACCACTTTAATACAACTTGCTTATTGGTTTGCATTTGAATATCTTTATGTAATATTTAATACTGAAATACAAAGAATTTAATTTAGAATTTAAACTATTGGTCTATTTGTTGGACTACGTTTAGAATTTGGACTTGCTTTAGGAGTTGAAGTGAGATAAAATATTAGTGGATGACTGAAATTTTAATATAGTTGGCACTTGCGTCTTTGGAGAATGGTGCTAGCTGAATTCTGTGTCATATTTTTGTTCCTTTATGTATTTTTTATAAACATAACTTGTTGGAAAGAAATTATAACGTTGGAGTTATCTAGGGGCTTATTTGCCATATTTTCTAACAAAAGTATCAGCAAGGGTTTTGTTCTGAAATTGTTTGGGCTGCATTGTGCTTGTATTGTTTGAAACTTGTTAACAAAGCCTACTGAGACGAAATAATGTAGAGTGTTCATTTTCTGAGAGCTGAGAGTTTCCTGTTTAGATAACAAGTTACAATGTATAAGGCATAGGATGCTCAGATTTCTTACTTATGTATATGCTGAGCTTCACCGTGGTGCACATTCCTTAAATTTTATTGTGAGATTTAGTTTAAAATGCTTGCAAAATTTTCTTCTAGTTCGGTCTTTCGAGAGCTGAGGAAATATCAGAAAGATTTCTCAAGCTGGTGTGGAGAGTGCCAACGTGAGAAAAAAGAAAGGCAGCGTCTTTCAATTGCTGCTACGAAACAGGTAAAAGTCCAAAATCAATATTGTTTTTGTAGAATATGAAAATATAAATTCTGACTGTCTACTTTCATCAGGAATTACTGAAGAGGGAAGGAAAGCCTCCGACTTGAACTGTGTCTATTTTGAAACAAGTTTTTGCTTGTGGAAATTGTAAAATACTAGGATTCTTGTCATTGTGACACAAGCAAAACTATTTTTCCTATTTTGTTAGTGATATGCGCTATTGCCAAAAAATTGGGTGGGTAAAGATGGAAGGGTGAATGGTCTTGTGTGTCTTCATTGTACTTCAATGCTGTACATACACATGTTGTCTTGGGTGTCCAGTTTATGAGACAGCTACAACTACAACTGAACTATGTTTTTAAGATAGTGGCAGTAGTTTCTTCTGTTGTTGGTTCCAACATTGTTTCAAACATCTCAAGCATCTTAAAACTGGTTGACAAGGTTGTCTTGTAAGTAAACCATCATGTCGATTGATGAGGCATGGGGGCAGAATGAGGAACTTCATCAGGCTGCCATTTCAAGTAGTATAAATTTTATATGCTTCAAGATTTAGTTGAAAAGGCTTTGACATGTTGTTATCAAACCAACTGGTTCAAAGAGAATTACATGGTATCTGTGAATCAAACAAAGAAGATGCACAACAAATTGATAGTAAGCCAAATGTTTCCTCTTTCTTTCTAACTATCCATGTTAGTTATGGCATGGACGGACGAGCCATCGATCAATAAGTCATTGGATACCGTTCAAAGAGAGAAATAAGAATGGCCCATTAACAATTCTTTGTATCTAAATTCCAATACATGTTGGTTTTTTTTGTATCTCATTTCAAAATCTTTACAATAATTTAAGTTTAGTTGCTTAATTCTATTTTTCAAGTGAATATACTTATTAATATATATATATATATATATATATATATATAAAGATTAGTCATTCAGTCAATTCTTTTTGCTATGAAAGGACAGTTTGTTCATTGACTTGGTGGCATATTTGCATAAAGTGGAGAAGCTCCTAACTCCCAAGAGTCCAAACTCAAAAAGAAGTAAAGAAATGCAAAGCAGACGCAGTCATTCAGATAACAAGTGTAGTCCCTCCAATCAGCTTACCACTCACACTTGCAATAAAATAATCCCTAATCAAAAAAGTAAACTCTCCCACAAGAAGTATATTAATATAAGCCTTTTTAAGATAATATATTCTTGTAAGATATTGTATTCAAATAAATACAAAAATTAATTTATAACCTTATATCTATGGAGACGCAATTTTTAACAAGATGTAAGTCAGTTTAACACTATTTTTGTTTCAATTGCTGGAACAATAATAATAATAAATTGTAAATGACAATATAATTATTCATTTTTTGATCTTTAAGTGATTTATATTTTTATTAAAAAATTAAAAATGATAATTTTTTAATATAAAATTTCAAAATAATTTAATATTTTATTATTGTTATTAATAAATTTACTAATTTCCAAAGGACTAAACACCAAAAATAGAAGTATTTTTCCAATTTGGACAACAAAAATCTGTCCTTTTCTGTTTCACCTATAAAAGGCAAAACTTTATTAGCCAGCCCAGCACGGCTGCGTCCATCCTTCACTCTTATCCTTCCATTTCCCAACAAAAAGCAAAGCAACCCATTTTCCCTCTCCCATCGCTTAACCCGTGACAAGGAGAAAAAAAACGAAAAACCAAGTGAGGAGAAAATGAGAGAAATCTTGCACATCCAAGGAGGTCAATGTGGGAACCAGATCGGGGCTAAGTTCTGGGAAGTGATATGCGACGAGCATGGAATTGACAACACTGGAAAGTATAGCGGTGACTCCGAACTGCAGCTGGAGCGTATCAATGTCTACTACAATGAAGCCAGTGGTGGGAGGTATGTCCCCCGCGCTGTTCTCATGGATCTTGAACCGGGCACTATGGACTCCGTCAGATCTGGTCCTTTTGGACAGATCTTTAGGCCTGATAACTTCGTCTTCGGGCAGTCTGGTGCTGGGAACAACTGGGCCAAGGGTCATTACACAGAGGGAGCTGAGCTCATTGATTCTGTTCTTGACGTTGTCAGAAAAGAAGCTGAGAATTGTGATTGTTTGCAGGGTATCAATCCTATAACTTGACTTTGCCCTTTTTCTTTAAAAGACATTTTGACCTATGGGTTTAGTTTAATTTGTTGAGATCGGTGCGTTTTTGAGGGTTTTATTCGTTCTTTTGTGAATTTTGTCATGTATTTTGTTGGTGGATCTTCCTCAATTCTGAGTTATGAGTATGCTTTGAAAATTTTGTTTTTTTTGTTTTTATCTTGGGTGCGGTGAACCATTTTGGGTGTTTTCCAGGCTCTTTTCTTTTCTTTTCCTTTCTTTCTATTTTGGGGTTTTTAAAGATAGTTTGTTTTTAATGCAGATTTGTTTGTCTGTTTTAGTTTGGCTTATGTCTTGACTGTTATATCTATGAACAAATCCTTGTTGAAGTAAATTTGTTATGTATATATATAGAGGAATATGTTAAGCCATTGAAGCAACGTGGTTATTGTTTTGAACTGATTATGGTTGCAAGTTATTTTGAAAGTTTCTTGTTAAATTGTACTTTGGTTTTGTTTATTTGCATTTCTAATCTCCCTCCTCCTGCAAACCCAAAAGGGAAAAAAAAAAACCAGCTATATGTGCTTTCAAATCTCACTTTATGTGTTTTTGGTACAGGATTTCAAGTTTGTCATTCTTTGGGTGGAGGTACTGGATCCGGAATGGGTACCCTTCTTATTTCCAAGATTAGGGAGGAGTATCCAGATCGCATGATGTTGACATTTTCGGTGTTCCCTTCTCCTAAGGTATCTGATACAGTTGTTGAGCCATACAATGCTACCCTTTCCGTTCATCAGCTTGTTGAGAATGCCGATGAATGCATGGTGTTGGACAACGAGGCTCTGTATGACATCTGCTTCCGAACTCTCAAGCTGGCCACTCCCACCTGTAAGTTTGATTTAGGGTTCTAAATGCCTAGTGTATTCAGCAAAGGATTTTTAGCTTTGCCTAACGCAAGTTTCTCCATTTGTTTTTAAACTCCATTTGTTTTCAACAGTTTAAAATTAAAACATGTAGTGGGCATTAATTTGATTATGTTGCTTTACCTTCCTGTTCTGGGTCTTTGTGAAAAACGATGTTGCTCAATTATTAAGGAATTGGTGGCATATGAGCCCTATCCCTTTATTAAATCTTAGTTGGGTTGCTTGTAAGTATCTTTCTTACCAGACACCCACCATTTGCCTTTTTTCCCCAAACACAAAAGAATGTGATGCGTTAGGAATAACTGCTCTCATATTTGTTTCTATGAATTGGGATGATAACTATTATTTTCTTATGCTACTTCAAAAATATTGAGTGGCTTCTCTTAATGGAATCAATTTCCAGAGTATACATGATCTGGCCTCTGTGCTTATGTTCTTTTTCTTTTAACTTGACTCAGTTGGTGATCTTAACCACCTCATCTCTGCTACCATGAGTGGTGTCACATGCTGTCTGCGGTTCCCTGGACAGCTGAACTCTGATCTCCGCAAGCTTGCTGTGAACCTTATTCCCTTCCCACGACTACACTTCTTCATGGTTGGATTTGCACCCTTGACATCCAGAGGATCACAGCAGTACCGGGCCTTGACTGTGCCTGAACTGACTCAGCAGATGTGGGATGCCAAAAACATGATGTGTGCTGCTGACCCACGCCATGGCCGTTACCTAACTGCTTCTGCAATGTTCCGTGGTAAGATGAGCACTAAGGAGGTTGATGAACAAATGATTAATGTCCAGAACAAGAACTCATCATACTTTGTTGAGTGGATCCCAAACAATGTCAAGTCTAGTGTGTGTGACATCCCACCAAAGGGTCTGAAAATGGCATCCACTTTCATTGGAAATTCAACTTCAATCCAGGAGATGTTTAGGAGGGTTAGCGAGCAGTTTACAGCAATGTTCAGGAGGAAGGCTTTCTTGCACTGGTACACTGGTGAGGGAATGGATGAGATGGAGTTTACTGAAGCTGAGAGTAACATGAATGATTTAGTTGCTGAGTACCAGCAATACCAGGATGCCACTGCAGACGATGAGTACGAGGAGGAGGAGGAGGAAGAAGAGGAAGTTCCAGCTTGAGGGGAGGAGTCTCTATAAGCTTACAGTTGGTCTGAAATTTGTATCTATGTTGGCTGGCTCTAGCTGGCTGATGTTTATGTTGTTGAGATGTCAAATTTGGATTGACATGATGTGTATGTTTGTGGCTCCTATTTGAGATTATGCTATTACTTTTAAATCTTGAATGGATCGATGCTTGTATTTAGTAGAATTCTGGAAGATTGAAGGTAATAGTCTAAATTTTCTTTTATCCTAGGTGTGCATGGAATTCATATGAAGTAGTTTTTCTATAATTTATTGTTGTAGTTGAAAATGGGTTCATTCATGCTTCAATGCATTTTGAGGTTTAATGTGCAAAATCTATACATTGATATTGTATTATACTTTTTCGTAATTGATGCGTAATTGGTGAGTATGTTTTGAATCTTGAATCCTACAGATCCAATGTTTTGACTGTTCTCTTAAATTAATTTTACATATACAAATAAAATAATAGAAATATTTCATTTATTTTTTAAATACTCTTACTTTCAAATTAAATCTAGTTTTTTAAATGGTACAAGTTTTAAGAATATGAATAAATAACATTCAAATATTTAGTTTATTAGTTATTATATGATTTTTTTATTTAAAAATAGTATTTAGTTTATTGGTTTTTGTATGATTTTTCTGTTTAAAGAGTAAGATTTGAATTTTTTTTAAAATTTATTAAAGCAATAATTACAAAATAAACTATGGATTGATTTAGTAAATAGATAAATTTGATTGAAAATAAATAAATATTAAAGAAATAATGATAAAAATTGTCAGCATTTAGCTTATATATTTATTTATTTATTTGTTTTGCGGGTTGGTATCAGCTGTCACGCAGAAGAAAGTAGTGACTGAGACAAGGCTAAGAATGATGTGGGAAGGAGAAGTGGTCGCGAGAAACAAGGAACAAGTCAATCGCTGTCGAGGTTTAAGACAAAAATCTGAACATATATCCAAGTAATAAGCTTACAATATGTCCAAAGATGAATGTTTCAACTCCATCCATCTCCCGACGGCAGCTTCATTTCTCTTCTGTTCGTCCCACTATAAAAGGAGACAGTTGCAGCTTCTTCTTTACATCAATATTATTAGTAATTTATAGTTTTGGGTTAATTACCACCTAAGCTGACATAATTAAGCTGCATTTGCATGCATGCTTCCTTCTTCCAAAATGTTTACGAAGATTGTCTTCGTCTTAACTTGCTGTCTTGCCCTTGCGTCTGTCGATAGTACTCCTCTTCAAGATTTTTGTGTTGCAGACCCCAACAGCAAAGGTACTGCATGTCTGCAATTTCTTTCTATTCTTCTTGCCTCATTTTTTTTTTGTATAAATTTATCTTCAATACTGATAAATGAAATGTCGATTAGAATATTTCTTCCTATCAATTTTTACAAAAAAAGAACCAAAATAAATTAAAGTTGGATGGTAAAATTATTGATTAATAATATCCTTGTATGCTTTTCTGCTTCATGACAGTTGCTGTCAATGGCTTGGCTTGCAAGGATTCAAAGCTGGTTGTAGCCGACGAATTCCACCTCACAGGGCTGCATTTGACAGGCAACACTTCAAACCCCTACGGGTTCAAGGCGACTCCAGTTACATTAGCCCAGCTACCAGGGCTGAATACCCTGGGAGTTTCAATGGTTCGTCTAGACTTTGCACCATGGGGTCTTAACCCTCCCCATACGCACCCAAGGGCTAGTGAAATCTTGACTGTCTTGGAAGGCACCCTGGAAGTGGGGTTCATCACTTCCAACCCTGAGAACCAATTGTTCAAGAAAGTTCTTAACAAGGGTGATGTATTTGTGTTTCCTATGGGCCTTATTCATTTCCAGAGAAATGTTGGATATGGGAATGCAGTTGCGGTTGGAGCCCTTAACAGCGAGAGTCCTGGGGTTATTACCATTGCTAAGTCAGTGTTTGGTTCAAATCCAAGCATTCCCAGCGATGTTCTAGCAAAGGCTTTCCAGGTTGACCAGGATGTGATTTTTCAGCTGCTAGCTAAGTTCTAGACAGCCATTGGTAATACCAAAGGGTGTAACTCTTTGCTGCTACCGTCTGTTTATTTCTGTTCAACATTTTAAGGTTGTAAAATCAAATAATAAATAGTGAAAGTATATAATCTTTCACTTCCAAAGAAGATTGAAAGTGTTAAGAAACTGAGAACTAAACCATGCATGCATTAAAGCTAAGAAAAGTAAATGTATGGTTGAAAAACTATAAATTGGAGATAAAAATGCTTGATTTCTAGTTTCGAGAACCCTTTCATCCTGCTTTAAATCTTGTAATTATACTAGAATGAAGGCTTAATACGAGCTTGCAAGTGTAATTAACTTGCAGGGGGACACTTCCACTTATCCGAAAATGCTGAACATGAATTGATAACAGCCCTTTATCTCCTAAAGGTAAACGTACAATAAGAGAATGGATATATATCAAGTAAGATTTTTTATTACATCCAATTAGATCGTAAACTCTGTCCAACCTTGCCTTACCTTACTTACCTCACATTTCTTAGCCTTTGCTTGGAATATATTTTCTAATAAACAGAAAGAAGAATGACCCATTACTTGTTAAAATTTCAAGCTTTTGAAGCTTATATGTGTGAACTTCAATCATGATTAAGAATATTCTCATAAAGACCAAGATTTTCAAGTTCAACAATCTGTAAATTTCGACAAGTTTATAGCCTTTAAACTATATACAAAATTCAATCCAGATATATACTTAGCTTAACAATTCTACAAATTCAGATATACCTCATATACTAAGAAATATATATAAGTGTATTTGAGAATTTGATTTATTGATTAATACATTATTTTCTTATTTAAAATAACAATATTCAAATATTTTTCCCTCAACTTTAAAAAAACAAAAAAAGTGTATATGAATAGACGTGTTAGAAGTGAATAGTTAGAGACAAGAGGCCATAAGAGAATTTGAAACACCTTTTATTAGAAAAGATCGACATAATTAATTTAATAAAGAGATAATTTGACTTAACTATATGGCGGCTTCTTCAATTCTATAGGATAAATAAATTGAAATCAGCTGTAAACGTCAATGAAAGGGAACACCAAAAACTGTCCAAACGAGAAAAGGGTCGTTTTACAAAGGCCATTGAATCTTGATCCAGGCTATTAAGATTATATTCTAACAAATTTTCAAAGAATTAAACGACAACAATTATATATTCTCTTTTAAAAGTAAAGATCACTTCACTAATATATTGACAAAATCAATAAACACATAAAATGTGCACATCAACGTAAAACAAAATAATTTTTCAAACAATCAAATTTATAAATTTAACTAATAGTTAATATCAGATTTTACATTCATTGAATATTAAATTTAATAAGATCATCTGTCAACTTATTAATAATCAAAAACATACAATGACTTTGCCGTCTTCCCGATTGAATTTTTAAAATTTTAATATGTAATATAATTATACAAGAAATGAATCTTGCTAATGGATGACAACTAACAGATACCTCTCTGCTCTGTCTCACTATAAAAGGAGAAGCACACTGCATTTTTCTTGTACAGAGCAATATTTGTTGCAAATGGCTGCCAAAACCTTGTTTATAGCACTCCTTGCTCTAACTTGCTTCGTTGCATTTGCATCTGGTCAAAGAGATGGTCCTATTCATAAATCGGCAGATGATCATAAATCAGATAGTGAAGATGTATCTTTAAAACCAAAGCAAATAATCGAAACTGATGACAAAGGTAGTGCTGCAATATCTCATGATCACATTAATGATCATAGAGATGGTGCTGTTCCAAATCAATCCGATCGTAAACATAGCCCGCATCAAAATTTTTAACCAGGCAGCTGAACCCGAACACCAGCCAAAGGAAGGTACTCCTTCATTGATGGATGAATATATATATATTAATATTGGTTTATGGTTTTGTGCTGCTAGGCTAGCCAATTGATGGGTGTATTTTTCAAATCCTAGCAATATTACCAGTGATCATCTCGCCAAGGCTGCCAGGGATTTGAGTTATCTGCTACAAGCAAACTTCAATAAGGGTCTTTATTTGCTTGTTCTAAAATGTCAAATTTCCTCCCCTTACGCTAATTTGAGCTTGTAAGTACTTTATGTTGTAATTGAACGTGTGTTCTTATGTGTGTGTCATGTGACGTTTTAGTAGAAATGTATGTGAAATGGGGTTTTGTATAATTGTATTGGAATAAAAAAAGGTGTTTATTATCTAATCTTTGGCGTATCAAGTATTTGGAATATTTGCAACAGTTATATTGGTCTCTCGAGTGCAGTGTCTTTGTGATGAAATGCACTGCAATAATAACAATGCTAAACAATAACTATCCGAAGGTCAAAGAATGATGATCTTAAGTGCTAGCTACGTCTATTTGAATTGTCTATATAAAGGCTAAGGCAGCTTCGGCAAATTCGCTTATATTTCCTCCAAACTTCCAAGAACTTCCACCTACAAAGCCATCCCTCTTACTTTCTTTCTTTCATCCAACACACACATGCATAATACACACTATATTTATCATATAATTTATCATGTTATTAGTCTTTTTATCATAGTTTATACTATCATTATTATCATATAATTATTTACATTGTTGAGCTGGTGAGATTTTGGATGGTTTTGATTGATCACTTTAGTTCATCTGCAAGGTTACACAAACCATTGGTTTGTTAAATCCTAAAAATAATATATCAATATTGCACCTTGCTTGCCATTTAGACAATATTTGGAGGGAACGGATTTCTATTTTAAAAATAGTGATTCCTATCACGCTTAAGATTTAAAGATAGGTTGAGACAGTTTGATTGTAAATATGATGACCTTATTCAATTGATGATTTTATAAGATTCAAAATGTTAACACAGTTGAGAACTTAACTATTAATTAAAGCTAATTAAGAAAACTATATAAAGTAAATATTGAAAAACATCAATGAAGATAAAAATGCTTGATTTATAGTTTTTACAACCCTATTCTCTTCCTCTAAATCTTGAATTTATACTAGGAAGAAGACTTAATACGAGCAAGCACGTAAGTAATAAACTTGCAGTGGGGCACCCTCCAATTATCCGGAAATGCTGAACATGGGTTGATAACAGCCTATTGTGTCCTGAAACTAGAGCCTGCAAGGACAAGTAAACGTACAATAAGAGAAAGGATATGAAAATCATTATCTTCATCCTCTGGCCGGCCTTTTGGTTCGAAAAGAAGCTTTATATATTGCAGGAGGGTCATCCTCAACAAACTTCGGCACATCTCGACGAAGATACCTGCTATACAGTCTAGTAATAAAGCGTTGTTAAATACAGACAACAAATAGCTTTCAGTTGGACCTTGGCAATTTTGAAGAATTACTGGAAAATTTATATCAAGATTGCCTGAATTGTCCTGGATTAATTGATGGACATCAATCCAATGGCTGCAAACAATACCTTTGCCGATTCGTTGGCCAAGTCTAGTGTGGAAAAAGTGGACACCATGATCTTCCTTGGTCGTTTGCTGCATCGAAAGGTTGGCCACCGCTTCTAGTATGGGACGTGGAGACGTTGGTGCTGTACTGATTGTGTTTGCGATGTATGGAGTTACATTTGTGGTGTAATGCTGTCATGGCTTCTGGGTTTGATGTCTGTTGGCAATGGATGCACTTGGTGTATGGGTAGAGCATTGGATGGTTTGGGTTGGGTGTGCCTCTGTCTCGAGGTATAGATCATCTGTTTTGAGATTCTTGGGGGCCATGTTATTGTCTGGTGCACTTTGGGGGTGACAACTATGCTGCTGTGTTGGTCTGAATTTATGTGTTTTTAGTTGTTTAATGTGTGCCTCTAAGCTGCTGTATGGTTTTCCTTCCACTATTCTTAGTGGCTGCCATTACTGTTTCATTACTCTTAGTTGAGTTATAAACGACCACCATTACTTGACCTGGAAAACCATATTTCCTATTGAATTTGTTGAAAACAAATTTATGAGCATAGCCTTGGAGATGAGTAGACGTGTTAGAAGTGGACAGTTAAGGACAAGAGGCCGGAAGTGAATTTGGCGTCAGAATATGGTGGTTTCTTCAATTATGGAGAAGTAATAACAATAATACAACTAAATCAGCTGTCATGTTGCAAAGAAATGTCAATGAAAGAGAACCTCAGAGACTGTCCAAACGATAAAAGGGTTGTTTCACAAAAACCAATTCAATCTTGGTCCAGGTCAATAAGACTAATCTATATATTCTCACAAATTTCCAAAAAATTAAATGACAAGGATTGTATATAAATAATTTTCTTTCAAAAGCAAAGAACACTTCAATAAATGAAAACAATAAGTATGTAACAAAAAGAAAAAAAAAAAAAAGAACCCACGTCAGCATAAAACAAAATAATTTCTTGAATAATTTAATTTATCAACATAATTAATCATCACTATTAGATTCAGTGTTTATTACATATCAGATTTGATAAGATCATCTGTTGGAAGGCACCTGGAAGTGGGGTTCATCACTTCCAACCCTGAGAACCAATTGTTCAAGAAAGTTCTTAACAGGGGTGATGTATTTGTGTTTCCTATGGGCCTCATTCATTTCCAGAGAAATGTTGGATATGGGAATGCAGTTGCGGTTGGAGCCCTTAACAGCGAGAGTCCTGGGGTTATTACCATTGCTAATTCAGTGTTTGGTTCAAATCCAAGCATTCCCAGCGATGTCCTCGCAAAGGCTTTCCAGGTTGACCAGGATGTGATTTTTCAGCTGCTAGCTAAATTCTAGACAGCCATTTGTAATACCAAAGGGTGTAACTCTTTGCTGCTACTGTCTGCTTATTTCTCTTCAACATTTTAAAGTTGTAAAATCAAATAATAAATAGTGAAAGTATGTAATCTTTCACTTCCAAAGAAGATTGAAAGTGTTAAGAAACTGAGAACTAAACCATGCATGCATTAAAGCTAAGAAAAGTAAATGTATGGTTGAAAAACTATAAATTGGAGATAAAAATGCTTGATTTCTAGTTTCGAGAACCCTTTCATCCTGCTTTAAATCTTGTATTTATAGTAGGATGAAGGCTTAATTCGAGCTTGCAAGTGTAATTAACTTGCAGTGGGACACTCTTCCACTTATCCGAAAATGCTGAACATGAATTGATAACAGCCCATTATCTCCTAAAGGTAAACATACAATAAGAAAATGGATATATATCAAGTAAGATTAGTTATGACTTCCAATCAGATCGTAAACTCCGTCCAACCTTGCCTTACTTATTATGTGATGTTTAAACTTGTGAAGTATTACCTAATCAAAGGCAATGCCCTTTGCATGCATTCTTTGGTTGTTTGACTTGTACAACCTCACATTTCTTAGCCTTGCTTGAAATATATTTTCTAATAAACAGAAGAATGACCCATTACTTTTACTTTTAACGTTGGTCGGTGGAGGCTAAAACTTGTTAAAATTTCAAGCTTTTCAAGCTTATATGTGTGAACTTCAATCATGATTGAGAATATTTAAGTTCAACAATTTGTAAATTTAGACAAGTTTATAGCTTTCAAACCCTAGCCATTTACAAAATTCAATCAAGATATATAAGCTCAGATCTTAGTTTAATAAGTTTACAAATTTAGATATATCTCACATTCTAAAAGATATATATGAATGTATCCGAGCATTTAGTTCATTGATTGGTGAATGATTTTCTTATTTAAAATAGTAAGATTTTAATTTATTTCTTTTGATTTTAAATATATATATATATATATATTAATAGACTTGTTAAAAGTGGAAAGTTAGAGACAAGGGGTACAAGAGAATTTGACACACCTTTTATTATAAAAGATCGGCAGAATTAATTTAATAAAGGGACAATTTGGCTTAACTATATGGTGGCTTCTTCAATTCTACAGAACAAATAAATTGAAATTAGCTGTAAACATCATCGAAAGGGAACACCAGAAACTGTCCAAACGAAAAAAGGGTTGTTTTACAAAGGCCAATTGGATCTTGATCCAGGTTATTTTGATCATATTCTAATAAATTTTCAAAGAATTAAACAACAATGATTATATATTCTCTTTTAAATGCAAAGATCACTTCATTAATAAATTGACAAAAGCAATAAGTATATAAAAAGTGCATGTCATCAAATTTATAAATTTAAACTTATAAATTTAACTAATAGTTAATATCAGATTTTACATTCATGAAATATCAGATTTAATAAAATTATCTGTCAACTTATTAACAATTTAATTAAAATATATAATGAATTTGTTGTCTTTTTTACTGAATTTTAAAAATCTTAATATGTAATATAATTATACAAGAGATGAGTCTTGCAAATGGATGACAGCTAACAAATATCTCTCCCCTCCTTCTCACTATAAAAGGAGAAGCATTGCTTTTTTCTTGTATCAAGCAATAATTGTTGCAAATGGCCGCCAAAACCATGTTTATAGCACTCCTTGCTCTAACTTGCTTCGTTGCATTTGCATCTGGTCCAAGAAGTAGTCCTATTCATAAATCAGCAGATGATTATAAATCAGATAGTGAAGATGTAGCTTTAAAACCAAAGCAAATAGTCGAAACTGATGACACAGGGAGTGCTGCAATATCTCAAGATCACATTAATGGTCAGAGAGTTGGTGCTGTTCCAAATCAATCCTATAGCAGACATAGCCCGCATCAAAATTTTCACCAGGCAGCTGATCCCTATTGAAGTTGGAATGCATCTCTTTAATTGTTGATAGTGTTTATCTGAGCAGCCAACAGATACTACATGCTGGTGCATAAGATTCAGTTAAGTTTAGTCTTATTTTTTATGTTACAGTCAGTTATTGTTGGTTATTCTACTTGGTACATGTTGGTCTACCACTTAAAATTATAGATCAGTTATCTATTGAGTGCAGTTAGTGGGTGGTTGTCAGTTTTTAATTTTATGTCTTATGGTTTCCTGTACTTAAGCTTTAAGTAGAAAGCAGATATTAATGAAGAAGTTGTTCTGTTTTTTTCACTTACTGCTCTTAAGCATTCTTTTTACTCTCTTTTATTTTCCTTCACTTTATTCTGTTGAAATATCATCATGGTATCAGAGCTTTAGGATCTTGAGGGACCTAAGGTGCTAGAAACAGCGGAGTGTTGTTCATTAAAAGATCTCAGTTTTTCATTTTTTTGTTATTTGTCTGTCATGGCTTCATCTGGGTTTAGTGTCACAGCACCTCCTGTTTTTTCAGGAGAAAATTATGTTATATGGGCTGTGAAGATGAAAGCCTATTTAAGGGCTTTTGATTT